ACATTCCACTAACGGAATTAAAGTCATGCATCACACTTAAAATCCCTGCCAATGCATCCTGGGTAGACTTGTTCGAACTGATGTCCAAATTAGCTTTGCATTTTCAGAGTTCGCCCTGCGGAGGCTTTGTGATTCGCTTAAATAACTCTTCAAATATATATAGAATAAATAAAAAGCAACACGCTTTGAGATCAGAGCTGGTAAACAAGATGTTAAAGCCTTTTAACCCGTCACGTTCATGCAGCTGCAGAGAGATGTTTCCTGTTTGCCTACTGTTCCCATTTTTTTGATTTGTTTGAACACGAGACACGCCGACTGGCCGGTGTCTTTGATTAGAGTCAATAAAAACCCGGATCGCTATAAGAAAAGAACAATTTGATTAGATGTTAATGAATTCCAATTGATTCACGCTTAATGTTTTAGATACGACGGCTTTCGTTCCGGCCTCAGTTTGTGCACGTAGATCAGGCAAAGTTTAAAAAGAAAACATTCCAATAAATGGTTGAGTAGTTGTTSCAGTGTGTTAACTAGTTTCTGCAATACCCTCTGTGTGTGACCATCTGCTAAACAAGTAACAAATGACTGATGATCAGTCAGCTATAAATGTGTAAAAACAGGTTAGAAGATCTCCCTCTGTTGGGAGTGCTTTCATCGATATTTGTTGATTTTTCCGAAGAATTAGGCAAAAGTTCCTTAAATCTAACCCATGGAGAGAGACTAAATAAAAAAAGGCATTCAGTTTTGTTGTCAATCYTGGACTCACTGGCCTAAAGGAGGGGCACTATGTATTTTACAGGCACATACTTCCATTCTATACCACAAGCGAGTAACTATGTTGCCTTTAGTTGGTCTGAAAATGCTATATCTATAAAAAAATTAAATTGACTTTAAACTAGGGCTGCCACGATTAATCGATTAATCGACGACTAATCGATTATTAAAATAATTGATGACTAATTTAATAAACGATTAATCGTTTTCTTTTTTTTTTTGTTCTTTACTTTGTTTTTCTCTCCAAACTGCTTTGACACCTTCCACTGCCACATCTGCCTTTRTGTCCTTGACACACATGCACAGAAGTGGTAACTGGGGTAGGCCGTGGACGTCACAAGACATTATACAGACAGGCTCTGGTATCATGGCTACTCTGCAACGGAGCTCAAAAGTGTGGGATCATTTTAAGAAAATGAAAGAGAAACRTGTGTAATATCTGCAGAACAGAACTTGCCTTCCACAGCAATTATTTTTAGTTAGCATATAGCTAAAATCTAACAATGGTTATATAATAGCAGCTGCATTCTGACGTGATAAGCTGTTTGATATTCAATTAACGTTTGATCCGATTAGTCGACTAATCGAAAAAATAATCGGTGATTAATCGATTATAAAAATAATCGTTTGTGGCAGCCCTACTTTAAACCATGGCTGAATGCCTTGCTTCTGTCTCTTTACGAACCTCCTACCATTTCCGACACTCCCACTTCAGCACCTCTTCACAACAATGCTTCAGAGGAAGGGTGCTTGTTGGGGCAGAAGCTTGGCTGCAAACTGAGATCCAGGGAGGAGCTTTGTGTAAATGGGCGGAGCTTTGTACCAGRGAGTGTTTKGGAGGCTCCACACGGCTACCACAGGAGATTCAAGGATTTCTTCGAGTCAGATCCTTCCCCGTTTTTCTGTCCCGCTCTGTCACAAACCTGTTTTTTTTTTATTCAGTCAACTTCTGTATAATTTGGATTTACGGCTCTTTCCAGGAAACAGGATCTTGTGGATCCGTTCCTTTTAAAGAGCTGTTGTGTCTTGTTATAGCACGGCTGCGTCATGGCGATGTAAGACCAACTCCTTCCCTCCGGAGTCCTGTTCTTCTTCGCTTTCTTCATTTCTTTAAATGAATGGCTCTSAACTGTCTGGGATTCTTTTCCCATCATTTGTTTAAAAAAAACTGTCAATAGACCCAAGTGGTTCACGAACATCAGATCTCTTACTGTGTGTATTTATCTATAGTCCTGTTGTTTTATGCATTTCCCAGTTCCTCATGTCYTCATGCGGTTGAGTTTACCAGTGTTGGTCTCCAAATAAAAGTTTCATTTTCATCCTGTCTGCATTAAGGTTCTCAGACTTTCTCCRAACATGGTTTCATGAGAGTTTCTGAACAATGGCAATGTGAAGAACTGGCTAAACACAAAATCAGGCTGATTTTGTAGATGCTGYGTGGGTTCATAATGTGCATCCAGAGCTTTCTGTCATTTCTTTTACCATCAGGGCAATTAAAGTAAAATTCCAACTCTGGACTTGTTAAAACTTGGTGAAAATCTGAAGAATGACCATAGATAAAACATTKAAACTTTTTTTRRCCTGAAAATGCCAGAAATGTACTATGCTGGTGAAGATTTTAAGTCATCAAGGYCATGGTCAAAAAGTAAAAGTAAAATAAACAACAATTGGACTTTGTTTCTAAAGCTGAGGACATTCTCAATTCAAAATGTTTGTAGTTCCAACCTACCTACATTTTTTATTCTTCTATTCAATCCAAATAATGTTTCAAGCTTTAAAATGGACTGGGAAGTACAATATGCTTATGAATCTTATTAAATATCTAGTAAATGTCTTTCATTAAATCCACTCCTTGGGTTTCTTCTAACCAATTAGTGGTCCACAAACCCAACAGGAAGTTTGTTTTATCAGGATAAATAAACTGTGAAATCCTCCTTTAAGGATTTCAAGAAAAGCACTGTTTTGAGACCGGTTCTAAGACTGACACAACATTGATTCACATTTCATGTTTGTGTCACATCTGTTCCTACAGCTCAGCTCAGCAGTCACAAAGAAACATCTAAACCCGACTTTCTTTCGCTCCACCGTTTTAAGTTTCTTTCAGATCGGGGACGAGCTTACACACAAACCGATTTTTTTTGTTTGTACTGTAGCTGCATCGTTTCCCCTCAGTAATGGTAGCAATTAGACGGGCCGTATAATTACACCATCCTCGTTATATAGTTAATTTCTGTAATTACAATTTGCMCCAGTCGCTTCCTCCCTCTTTGTGTGTCATCTGCCTCCCTCTTTTTGTCCCTCGTCCTCTCTCATGTACACAACACACCAATTACACTGATACTCTGGGTTGGCTATAGATAGTCTGGATGATCATATGCACATGTTMTATGTTTACGGGCTGGGGAAGGACCACATGCTCATGTGTTCACATACGTATGGTGACAGTAATTAGAATTACTAAACTGAATAAATATCCAAACGTTAAAGCAGCCTCTTGGGAGTGGGGGGGTTGTAGGCCTCAGAACAAAGACTTTGATTAAAGTGAGACAAATTATATATTCAAAAAAAAGGCTTTAACTTCTGTGGCAACAAGTCGGCATATTTATCTCTGCTTTGTAATATTTTTATGAAACTACATAATGATTTTTGCAAACCTCTGCGATGCTGTGAAAATTACCATTTGTTAACAGAAAAATCTTTACAAATTATCGTTTTGTTTTTTTGCTGACACTATAGTTTCCAAAAATACTTGCAAACAGATTTTGGTTACAGAATGAATTATTTATGGTATTAGCAGTYTTTTAGCAGTATCTGAAGTAAACCACAGGCTTTTTTGTTCTTTTCACACAGTGGTCACACTGCGTTAAAAACACTTGTTCAGCCACTGCTGTTACTTTCAGGTAATTTATGTCGACCAAACAGAAGCTCAGCTCAAACAAGCATTGTATCATCAGCTATTGTGTTGTTACTTACACAGTCAGTCTATTTAAACTCTGTGACTACCTCTTCTGGTGTCTGAATATTGTTAAATGGTCACACACCTCAGTCCATCTTTATACAGATTGTTTTGAAACTGGCAGCTCAGTTTAAATGTCGATGTGATGTGTTAATATGACGGACATCTCCCTCGCGAGGTTTCTGGTCGTTCTTTATGAGACATGGAAGTTTTGGCACAAAACTGGGCTTTTTGATGTCCTCACAGATGGGTGTGTACCTTCTCGGTTTTAAAACCTGTCGCAGGCTGCACCAGTCATGAAGTAAAATGTGTTAGGGCAGTTATGTTTAAGTAAAATATCTAGAAAATGAGAAAACCCATTCAAATGTGCAACAGACAAAAAAGACTTGAATGAGAAGGAAAAAGAAGTGAGATCAGACAGTTGAGTTTTTGTTTGATTGGTGAAGATGACTACTATTTTARATTTCAAAAAACAGCAGCAATAAAAACTGTCCCGATGTTACACAGTGGTGCCTTGAGTTACAAGTTTAATTCGTTCTGAGCTGGAGCTCTTAACTCAAATTACTTGTATGTCAAATCAGTGTTCCCCATAGAAATACATTGAAATGCCCTTGATCTGTTCCGGACCCCCAAAAAAACCCTGCTATTTTTTGTTACCAGTTTTTATTCAATTCAATTCAATTCAAAAATACTTTATTGATCCCAGAGGGAAATTAGGTAATTATAGTAGTTATACCAGTAAAATCATTATAAATAACAAAAATTGAATAAATATACAAAACAGAATGTATTTTCTGCAATGAACTACAGTAGTTTTATTAAGTAAGTACACCGTAAAAGGTACAGCTTCAATATGGTGCAGACTGTGGAAGTGCTGCGCTCGTACTGCTTTGCTAAGTCGACTACACGCACACCTTTCTCGTGTTTTTCAGTAATTTCTTTCTTCAGTTCAACGCACATCATCCGCTTCTTTTTCTATGCGCCATCCTTTGCTCTCACCTTTTTTGGCCCCATAGTTGGCATAAGTTTTATAAAATAACTGCGAGTAGAATACAATTGCTTTAACCGCGAGCTAACTGCTTAAAGCTAATGAGTGGCGCCATCTAGCGGTGGGGCCCGTGAAGTTTGCTCGTAACCCAAATTTTAGCTCTCAACTCAAAGCAAAAATATATCTGAGAGACTGCTTGTATCTCAAAAAACTCMTTAGTTAGGACACTTTTTAGTCAAGGTACCACTGTAGTTCATTTGAAGTCCAGTCCTTCAGTTCACTCACCTTTGCTGCAGTTGCTGTCCCCCTCCAGCAGAGGGCTCCATGGCGGGTCCCCCTGGCTGGCAAAGGTGCGCATGTGCAAGTAGCTGATGGTCAGCCGGATGACCGAAGCCTTGTCCAGCTGACTTGTGATGGCCCCGGGCAAAGGCAGCATCTTGGCCAGTTCAAAGAACTCGAAGTTCTCCTTCCCGCGCCGTGAACGAGCCGCATTGCGAGATTTCTCTTTGCGCAGGTTCTGAAGACTAGGAGACAAACACGCAAGTGTGTTACAAGTGTGGGAAAACAGGCAGAAGTGAAATGGTTTAAAAAATAAAAGATCAAAGAGGTGGAAATTTTAATCTGAATAAGCACCGTGCAAAATGAAAGAACCTGGTACTACTAATGGCCATTTAGTGACCGCCTGGTGACTGATTCATGTTGTGTATGAAACGCCTCTATCAATACAAAAACCTAATTCATTAATACACAATAAAAGCCGTTCCTGCAATCAAACAGAAACAATTTCCATTKCGACCCGTTTCTTGCGGATTGGCTTGATAATTACGGACAAAGTCCCCTCTTTTATCCAGTAGAGCTGAGTCCTAATAACACTATTTGCTCTAAAATCCATATGTGAACCCATGCAAACAATCTCCCGCTGCCTATCTCTCCTTTTTCCCCTCCCTCCCTCCTTCTCTCTAAATCCTCTCCCTCATCTGGTCCCGGGCTACTGAGCTGTAGCCGTGATTGAGGGATCAATAGTGGGAGGGAGGGTCTGAGTGACAGAGGGGGGCCGGGGCTCAGGTAGCCTGTCTCTGGGATTGGGTATTGACTCTCCTCAATGGGGCCTGAGTGGTGGAATTATGTTGTCACAGCCACTTCACAATTTGTGTCAGTGCAGCGCTGGAATAAAGTGTTTCTGTGCACGCGTTTGTGTGTTTGTGTGGCTTCCCTCTTGTCGTTTTCATCCTAAGACCTCCAGTTTTTTTTTTTTACGTGCGTCTGTGTTTATGTGCATGCGATGAATGRGTGGAAGAAGAAACAACCCTGCACGGTTTGCAAATATGGCTTTATATCTTAATCAGGTGGCACAGCTGTTGTATTTCTCCCRGTTATCCTATAACAAGTGTGATCAGTGTTTCTCTCTGTGAGTGTGTGTGTGTGTGTGTTAAGACTCATGCTGTAACGTCTCATTATTATACCGCCTCGACCTGCAGCCACCGAGAACAATCAATACGCGCACATTGATTCTGCTTAGTTTTTATATCCGCCTGTAAATGACTGCCCATTAATAATTCCTGCCAAATGCACTTAATCTCCTTTAAGGGGAGGGGACTCACATATCTGACAGGACTGGCAGGTGAGCAGCAGTTCAGGTGAAATGTAGCACGGAGGAGAACAGACTTATGTCTTCTGTATTGTGTTGTGGCGAGAGGAAACTCTTCATCGGGCTGTCGGCGTGCGTGCAAAGGTGTCAACCTGAGGATTTCGCCTTGCAGAGATTAATTCATGAGCATGCACGCAGGCTTAGGAAGGCCTCCGCTTGTGTTTGTATGTGAGTCTGAGTGTGTGTGTGTGTGTGTGTCTGTGGTCTCACCAGGGTAGGGTGGGTGGCTTGGCAAGAAGTCCTTGCAGGAAATCCCATTCCACACTCACGCACTTCCCCTCGCTGACAAACGGCATGCTTGCCATCTTTCCTCCAGTCCCACGCCGCTGCCGCCGCTCCTAACGAAGGCTGTGATTGGCTCGGGTTGCGACAGACCTGGATGGAACGTGAGAACCGGCAGAGGTGGAGGGTGAAGCGTAAGTGAATCGAGTGACCTTGGTTCAGTCATCAATAACGGGCATAACATCATCGCCATCTAATTAAACTTTATGAGCACATGTGTAATTCTTAGCAGGAGAAATTGATCACGTTTCAGGCAGCGGGTGAATAATAGATTAGAAAACTGGATCATATATTTTGTTTAATTTAAAGCTTCGACATCGTATGCCTTTTGAAACAAAATATTTAAAAATGTGGTCTTTTCTTTTGGTTGGATTATTACTTTTTTATTTTCATTTTAAAAAAAAAAGAAACAACACTGTGCAAAACTCTTGAGGCAGCCCTTGTTTTTCTTGTATTTTACTTCAGAGGCAGCAAACTTTCTTCTTTTTACTAAGCAACACCTCCAAAACCAAAGCGACAAACCAGGGATGAATTCAGATACTTCAACAGCAATGGCCGAAAAAGTACAAGATGCTTTCTCAGCTGTATAAAATCATCAATCAATAAGTGAACACAGACGTAAAAATCTTTTTTATTTATTTATTTATTTTTACTTAAAAGATGATTCTCAAAGTGTTTCTGAATGAAAACCTGACATGCAGTGGCTGGAGAAAGTGAGGGGCCAGTTGCATTTCTCAGGTTTTGTGTCAGGGCTTTGCTGGATTTTTTTTCTATTCCTCAGGGATCTTCCTTTCAGACACTGTTCACCTGCTATAGATGTGTTTTTTTCCTCCTCACACCTGAAGCTTCTTCCTTTCTCCTCCACTTATCCGGTCTCCTCAGAGTTTTTAAGAACACACAGGTCAGGATCAGGTGCAGTTATAAACTGAGTCAGAGTAAAGGAATGCATATTACCCYCACCAGAATCTAGACTGGGATTATTGTATGCTGAGAAATTATAAAGTTGTAGCCATAAATCATGTAACATCATGAGATGTCACATTCAGAGTATCAGCTACTACAAAATCAAAATTTAGCTCAATCCTTGTCAAATTAACTGAGTTAGAACCCTTTATAAGTAGGCTGAAGTCCATTAGTTGTGAGGGCCATCTTGAATTGAATTCACTTCAAAAGTTAATCATTTGTAAAAACACATTCAATGATTAGATTATGGAAGTTTCATTGAAATTCATCCAGTAATTCACAAGTTAATTTACTAACAGACAAAAAGAGAAGACTTCAAAAGTTGACGCAAAAGTTTTAGGGCAAAATCTTTCATGACAAGCCGTWTGTTGAGAATGACTCTCAGCTACAACCACATCAAATTTTACCTCAYTATCTGTAAAACTGACAGTTGGCTGTGGCAGACATCTTGAATTGCATTGGCTCTCCATTGAAGAGGCACATTTAATGATTYCTTRCTGGAAGTTTCACTAAAATTCTTGCCGTTGTTCATGGGATACGTTGGTAACAGACACGTGAATACAGACAGAGCCTTACAAGCAAGCCAAGGTTCTTTCAGGTTAAATATAAATGAACYACAGGTAGTTTAAGACTTCTGGATGGTAGCTTAAATAAAAGTGAGCTTGTCTACAGATGCTACATTATGTATATAAACAAACACTGAAATACATGTACGTTTATGTTTGTGTCTGACTGACTGAGTAAAGATCACATTTAGAAGATGAGGAAGGATGAAGGATAAACTTTTTTTTCCTGTTATTTCTCCATTTTCTGAAAGATTTATGTGACATCATGGCTTCTTCATTTCAGAATAGGGTTGTGAAATTAATAAATTTTGTAGTTTTAATTTTTGCTCAAAGCAGTATTTTCATCAAAGTAACGATTTGTTGAGAAAGCTCCCTCTTGATCAGGTTGAGGTAGGTGAGGTTAGGGAGCAGTTTGTGTTTGTGGTCGCTCACTTTAAGTTCGGAGTTTGTTCTCAGGTTATCGACTCTAAATGTATCCTCTGAAGTCAAACAGCTCCAAATCACAGATCTCTAAATGTCTCCCATCATCCCTGAGAGGTTGCGACTCGAGTTTTAAACCGAACGTCACCAAAAGACGAAAGATGCCGTCCTCTCTTTGTTCTGTTAAAGTTGCCAATATCCTCCGCCGTCCTCAAACAGAGCCGCGCTCCTCAACAGTTTGCCTGCCCTCTGCGCTGTGTTGACATTTAAAGGGCTGCTGTGGCCCCCAGCACCTCGGTGTCGTGCCCTTGGGCACCGAGATGGGCCGCTCTCCCCCCCTCCCGCCTCGCCGCCTCTTCCTCCAGGCCGGCTGGGTCAGCACAATCGAGCCAGTGGAGCTTTGCCAGGGCAAAAGAAAATGGATTATGTCTCGAGTTCGAGCATGGCTACGCTGACCTTGGCTAAGAGGGGTCAGCAGAAGCTGGGGCAGGTTTTGGCAGAGCTCATTGCTCAAATCTGGTGTTAAACATCCAACATTAAATGCATGCGAGAAGACTTCTTGGACTGATTTCAAAGCTGGGGAAGTCGATAATCAGTTCCACAAAGAGAGGCGGAGAGATCGGGTCATCTTTTATGGTTTTATTTTGTCTTTAGGCAGCAACGGTGAAGCAGAAACTGTGGGATGTCTGTTTCTGACATGATCCTAGGTCAGTGAGATGAAGGCTGGCCTTTGCGGAGACTGATGCTGGATGTGTGAATATTTCAATCCTAACTTGAGCTTAAAAAGCAGGTCTTCTTAAATCCCACAAGTGGCTCACCTGAACCAAGTTGCTTCATCAGGTATGGATGTTTCATAACCGTCCATCTTAATTATTGATCATCAGCAGCTCCTCGCGGCCTGTATCAGAAATCTACATTTGGGTCCTTTTCTACCACAAAACGCTACAACCTTCTCACACCTTAGTTCAGGGCTTTTCAACTAGCGGTCCAGGGGCCACAACAGGCCCAACAACAATTTCATTTAAAACAAAACTTSTTTCACTTTTCTCCTTTTTCTCTTCTTTGTTTACTTTTTTGGTCTCGGTGTCCGTCACGAATCAATCCCAAAAAGAATTTATAATGAAGATTTCAATGTATATCAAATGGAGCATCAAGGTGAAATGCCATTATGCTGCACTTGTGAAAGTAAAACTGTTGGGCTTCATTTGTACACTCAGACATCAATTCTAAATTTCACATTGCCGGACAGGACACTGTTAAAAAAAATAGAAAAAAAAAACAGATTTGAAATCAAAAATATTTGTGAGAGAAACATTTAGAAATGCAGAAAAGGCAAAGATTTATGTCACAATGATGAAACATCTTAGACCGCCAGCTAATCAGTTCAATTACAACAAAACTAGAGTTTAAGTTGTATAATAAATTTACATACTATAAAAATTGTCTGCATGTTCAGTAAATGTGGACCCCTGAACAATCAGTTTATATTTGCTATTTAATTAGAGTTGAATGTTAAATGTTGTCAAAGTTAAAAAGAAAAATCTCGCAAAACATTTGCAAGACGTCACATTCTTCTTTCACCTAACTGGTTAAGAAGTTTTTAAGTCCTGCAAAACTAAAAAAAAAGGGCAGAAAATGTATAGGACCCTTTAACAGAGCTGCACAGTTTGTTTGTTTAAAACTTTGGTATTAACTTGTGGGGTTTGCMCAGTCTGTCTGTTAGCAAAATATCATATAAAACAATGACAAAACTTAATGAAAGTTCCAGAAACTGATCACAGGTGCTCATCTACAACTGATTAATGTTTGGAATTAATCCAGCACCACAGCTGATCAACCTTAGCAAACACACAAACAAACAGATTTAACTCCATCATTCCTCAACATCAGATGATTTTAGATGAAAAGACGAAAGGCAGCGGGCGATAAGCATTCCTTAAAGCCTTTCATTGAAGGCTTGATCCAGCTTCAGGAAGCTCATATTTTAGATCCCAGCAGCCTGCTCCACACTGACAGCCCTGCTCTTCCAGAATCGGGTGAAGAGAAGACAGGGTCGAGCAGAGGGCAGCGCACCTCTGTCTAACAACTTCACCTTCGTCACCTCCACTGCTTCACCTGGATAAATGCTCTACATGCCAAATTAGGCTGCGTACGGTCAGACAGAGAGATCAAAAGGAGACACAGACAGGAAACAGTTTTTAACTCCCAACACACACACACACACAGCCTTGACTCCAGCCCATACCTGTATGTTTATCTCCTAATTGACCCTATCTGTGCTTATCTAATCTCTCCTCCCATCTTTTCTGTCTCAAACTATCTCTCCATCTCTCTCCGACCCCCACTTCTATCAGAGCAGACACAGGGGCCGTAATGGACAGGAGCCTCCACAGTAATTATTCAATCAGCCTCATAACCTTGTCGCAGGTTGGGTGGCACATTAATGCACTCGCTCAAATGGACCCGGCCACTTTTGACTGCTAATGCTCGGGGCCAGCTAGCAGAAACAACAGGCTGAATGTCAGAAGTGTCATCTAGACGGAGGGTGAAACCCGGCTGAGTCGCCTCGTCCTGTCACTCCACAGTGGGGAAATAGATATTCTGAAAGCACAGGGAGTGACAACACGCCGTGCCCGCAGCTCTGGAGATCAACTTGTATCAAGTGTGAGCGCAGGTGTTCGCAATGTGTTGCTACTGCGCTACATATTCATTACCATGGTGTGTGTGTGTCGGGGTGTACGTT